TGGAAGAGAATGAAGAAGGGAAAATAGTAAAGCACGAAGAAGAAGAAGAAGGAAGAGAGCAAGAGATATGGAGTTGGGGGGCAGGAACGGACGGGCAGCTGGGCACGGGCAGGCTGCAGGACGAGCTCCTCCCTCAGCTGCTTCACTTCACATCTCTCTCCTCCGCCGGACCCATCTCTTTCCTTGCCTGCGGCGGCGCTCATGTTCTTGCCTTGACCTCTGGTCTCTTCCTTTCTTTCATCTAATATTATAAACAGTCTTCTTTTTTTCTTTCTTGGGAACCAAAAAATCTGACCCCTTTTGCAGGTGGGAAGGTACTGACATGGGGAAGAGGCACGTCTGGTCAACTAGGTCATTCTGATACGGTCAATAGTCCACATCCCAAGCTTGTTATGTCTTTGAACAACTACTTCATTACTCATGTTTCTGCTGGTTGGAACCACTCTGGTTTCGTTTCAGGTATATTCAGGCAGTTGATGTTACAATCTGTGCTGATATTTTTATGCTTGTTTGTATCCGTATTATTAGCATAAAACCAATTTTAGATTTCCCCCTACTTCAATTTTTCTGCTTTTACTGCTTTTGCACTGTCTGTGTCAATACATCTGGTTCTGGTGTGTTTAATTGGAAGACAACTTGAAGTATGGGGCTTACTCAACTCTTTTCTGGTTTTGGTCTTTACTTGGTTGTTTTCAGATACAGGGGCTCTTTTTACATGTGGAGACGGCACATTTGGTCAGCTCGGGCATGGCGATTACAGGTTACATTGCTATCCTGTCGAAGTCTCCTTCTTTGCTAGTAGTAGTAAGCACGTGGAACAGATAGCATGTGGAATGCGCCATTCCCTTGTTTTGCTGAGAGGTAATTGCAAGGATGATCTTGTGTGTTTCTGGCAGACGCAATGCTTTAGTGTAGAGATGCCGTTTTATTTGGATGTATAAGCTCCGTGGCATGCTTGTATTACAAGATAAGGCATTTCCTTTAGTCAATATAGCCCATTTGTCCTAGTGTAAATGATGTGTGAAGTGTATGCCTAATCATTACCATCCAGCTTAAGTTTCCACAACTAAGATTAATATAGTGCAGGTGGTTCAGGAGATGAAGTTTATGGGTTTGGTTCTGGGAAGCGTGGTCAACTGGGTATCGCCAAGGATAAAATCAATTTAGTTAGTCTTCCTGAACGAAGTTGTGGATTTGAAGGTGTAAAGATCGCTAGCATCACTGCAAATGGAGATCATAGTGCAGCATTATCTGGTGAGTCCAGAAAATTTTCATTTTTTCTTGATTTGGCCATTAAAGCAGATCACATTGCTTGTAAGATGGATGTCTTGAACTGTAGCTTTAAAACGATCCAGTCCATGTAAGAGATAAGAACTTTCAATGCTAGTCATGGTCCACAGTTTTCACGTAGTAAAAAAGCTTGTGAAGCCTAGTGCAAGTACGAATGGAAACACTAGTTGCCTCAGTGAATTGTTTTCCTGATTGTCGTTTTCTTTTCTTGCCTATTACCTTAGCTGATGGGCATTTGTACACTTGGGGAAGAGGGTTTGGCGGCACTTTAAGTGCTCAAATGCCACAGCGTTTACCTACATCATTCCGCTTTACCAAAATTGCTCTTGGATGGAATCATGCTTTAGTTTTAACTGGTATGTGCATTTATTTCTTGTTTTAACCAGTTCTGTTTATTCATTTATTTATTAAATTTCGTCATTTTCCCTGGTGAAACGATATCTTGTTGTTAAATAGCAGCCTTGGATATCTTAAACAGGTGGAGAGGTTTTTATGTTTGGTGGAAGTCACCATGGAGTCCTTAGTAATCCTGATAAAATGACTCCAGTCAAGCACTCAGCCGGTAATGCATCTAATTTGGTCCACAAAGTAACATGTATTTATTAAGTGATAATTAACTGTTCCATACACTACTTGCCCTTGAAAAAGGAAACTGGATTTTTCTGGTGAGTTAAATGGGCAGGCGCAGACAACTGCAGTTGATTATATCTGAATGATCATCGTGGTCAAATTGTGATTTCTGCTGATTACATGTGTGGTTCTTTGAACATTTGCAGATTCAAGAGAAGTTGTCCTGGAGAAAGTTCCTGGGCTTGAAGGGAGTAGAACTCTGCACATTGCAGCTGGAGCTGAGCACTCTGCTATTGTAACAGAGAATGGGGTACTTAAGACATGGGGATGGGGTGAACATGGTCAGCTTGGCTTGGGAAATATAAGTGATCAAACGAGTCCTCAAGAAGTGAGTCTCAGCCACAAATTTCGGAAAGAAGCCGGCTTAATTGAGATTTACTGTGGCAGTGGTTTTACAATTGCAGTAAGAACTTTGTGTCGCCCTTCTTAGGCTGGTTAACCCTACTCAAGGATGCTGACTGAAATGGACACCGATATAAATTGATTTTTCCTCAAGGAGTTGAACTTGTAGCTCCAAGAGAGCAAGTACAATCATATTACTGGGGCTTTATCTGTTTCATGTTGTGTAAATATTTGTTTTACAGGTTGTGGTATTTGGACAATAACTTTCTTATACAACAGAGAATTTTAGCTTTGCCGCCTTTGGGCTTGTTAATTAAGCTACAAACATTCCTTACAAGAAAACAAAAAAGCTGCCAACTTCAAATTAAGTTTGCCCTTAAGGAATCAAACCCAAAGTTATATTCCAGAGATCGGTCTTCCGGTTATAATTACGACCATTTCCTGAAGAAAAAAAAAAAAATCTCATTGAATCAATTACCACAAATGTATAATTTGGGTTTTACATGAATTAGAAGCAGGCACCCAATGGTATTACACATGAATCCTGACAAAAGAATCACATCAGTTAAAATCTACCACCTACACCACCTATGATACAAGAGAAAAAAAAAGAGGGGGGACGCTCGCTGAAACAACTGTTGCTTGCGCTAAATTCATCATTAGAATATCTTCTTATGCTTGCCGGGCTCTTCTGTGTCTTACGTTATGATCAGGACATTGTTTTCGTATCCACTGTTGTGAACAATAGGGCGCAGGGGATCAATCCGCCATTCACCATCAACAATAAATTTGATCTGAAATGCAAGGTGAAAACTGGTCAGATAATCACATTACTCAATGGCCCCCCAACGATGTAAAACACTAAAAGTATGACCAGAAAATAACAAAACTGAGCTAACCTCATATCTGCCCGGATACAACCTAAGGCACAAAGAGAAGATTCCTGTACTGGACTTTTCCATCTTTCTCTGTAACCAGTCACCGCAAATAACAACATTGGTAATGTTAACTGAGGAGAACGGACATTTGCTAATATTAATTCAACCTAACTGATCAATTCAAGAAGAGATCATACCTGGGTGGTCCAACCATCATATGATCCAGCCATGAGCACTTCTGAGGCTGAATTTGGCCAAACTATGTAAGCAGTACGAAGAAGTTGTAAGGCTCTACGCGCATCATTTATCCTTCTCTGTTTCTCCTCCACAGTCTTTTGCGCTTCACTGGCATGGGTGGGCAGGATGTCAATTGTAAAGCAAGTTACATTCTTGTTTTTAAATTAACAGAAAATGTGCATACATTATTGCCAGTGCCATCTTTCCTTCTAAAACAGCCAACTTTGCACGTGTCGAACGCAATTTGTCCTGGGCATGCATAATCTCATTTTCCTGAAACTCCCAGGCATCAGAAAGCTTCCGAAAATCATCAGAGGAGCTTTCATGAACCTAATGAAAAATATAAAATGGGTATAATATAATTCCCCAAATCCTCCAAAAACACAATCACAGTATGAAAATGCTTCCCAAGAGAACCTGAACGCAAACAGAACTTGAAGACCATAGATGAAATTCAACATATTGGTAAAACTTTAGAGTCAAAATTTCGAAGTAGTCATGCAAATTCATATAATCAAGACTGATCATACCCACCTGTGAAGCAGCTTCATCAGATCTAGTCCTCAATGAACGAAGTGCAGAGGAGAGCTCTGATTCAAGGTACTTAATGTGATCACGTATTTGCTTGTGACTGATCTCTTCCTGATGAGAATTCAGTTTATTCCTTTGATCAGGTTCATTAGCACCCTCTCTCAATTGAAATATTTTTTCTCTTGAAACATCCTCTGGTCCTCCCATTTTATCATAAGAAATTTCAGCAGCTGAACATTACATCAACATCAAAAGGTCATTTTAACCAAACTATCTAACCATAGAGCCGCTGAAAAGTGAAAACAAGTAAATATAAAATACCTTCAAAATCCTGATCTGAAAATCCAGCCCTCTGGATGCTCCAAGTTCTCCACATTTCTGGTCTTGGTGAGTCTGCTAGGACATCAATGTCTGAAAGAGATCTGTTGTGGTTAGGCTTGTCTCTTGAATCATTAAGAATGGCTTTTTTGGGGTTCAATGATGCAGGTCTGTTGCTTCTAACAAGGCCAGCAACTGTCTTTTACAATGTAACAAGCATCACACGTTATGTTTTAGAAGTTCTACATGCAAAGAATTCAATCACATCAAACTCTTAAAAATAAATTACTTTCATGCTGTAATAATGATGACTGCCACTCATGAGAGTTCAAACATAATTGTTATCATCTCTTTCAAGTTTCAATGGTATGAACAACTTGATATTGGAAAGACCGAAATATAGTTTTGGTTTCACTAACATATGCTGATAAATTAGAATTTAATTTTATCTCAGATGTACGAAATCCCAAAGGAAGATACAAAAAATGCAATTCAATTCTAAGAATTTAATACCATCTAACCACCATAAAGGTATATAGAAGTATGTGTTAAGTGAACAAGGGAAAAATTAGAGCTTTGCATGATGTTTTCCCCTAAACTATCACCCACCAAAAGCGACAAACAATGTTAAAATAATATAACAAACTTACCGCATCAGTTGAGATTTCGGGAAACTTGTAAGTACTTGGGAAGAAAACATCGTCTTCTTTTTCTTTCAAATTAAATCCAAACGTCAAATTTCTCTGTTTCTCCAATCGATTCAATATCCCCTCGATTCCAGTATCATCCTCTGTTGCAGCAGCTTCTCTACACATATAAAAGAAAAACACTTTAGTTGATTCCCCTTCCCAAATATAACTAATGTTTGATACAATCACTGAAAATGGGGAATCAATGAACAGTGGAAATCTTGTCCTATGCAATGCAGTTTTTATTTTAGTTAATCAAATCTCGTTATCTCATCATAGAGAGAGAGAGAGAGAGAGAGAGAGAGAGAGAGAAAGAATCAAGGCTTGAGTTCTTCTAACAGGATGGGGTCAATAAGGTTCCATTATCCATTCATTCCCAGTTGATTTTTCAAAACCTAAGCAAGCCATCGCTACAGATGTCATCATAATTAATGGAAGTAGAAGTAAAACTCTAAGTCAATCTCTTGGTCCTTGATAAAGATATAGAAAACGAATACAAAAATTTACCAGCGACTAATACAAATCTAAAATTTCAACAAGTTCGTTTTAATAGAATCCTCACAGTGATCTACCCGACGACGACGCTGCTTGAGAAGAATCATCAGAAAACGAAGAAACCACGCCTGAAGCCCCAATTAGACTGCCACTCGAAGCACTGCTCTCGCCTTCTTTAGCCACTATCGAATCCCAATGCCTAAAATTACTATCTTGAGCTCCTCCTTCTTCTTCTTCCAAATCCCAACCCAACGAAAGCCAACCACCTTTCCTCGCAATAGCATCGACCAAATCCTCTCTCCCAGATTCAAGAAGCTCCTTCTTGCTCGGAAAAGCCCCAGGCTTCTTGGAGCTCTTCATGAACTCCAAAATCTCAGTTTCCAAGGTGAAATCCCCCTCTGTATCCCAATCTTTACATCGCCTCACAAACCCAGAACACGCTCCTTTCTTAAACTCTGAAAACCCTAAACACAAAGAACACCCGCTTTCTCTAACCGAAACGAAGCTAATCGCCTTCAGACGCTGCTGCCTCCTTGCGGTTGTTGAATTAACGACGTAGAGAATCGAAGGAAATGCATGAGGGATGAAATTCGGGAAGGAGTAGGGCGAGACGAGCAAATGGGTCGCAGCGGTGGTGGAGGAGAGCATGGCTCAGGCATTTCGACGAACACTTGGAGCGCAAGGCGAAATGGTATTATGCGTAGTACGCTCTAATGGAAAAGGGAGCGCGAGCAAGCCAAGCAACGAACAAAACCACCGAAAAGCGTAAACCAGCATTAATGCGAACCTTCCTTTTTTAATAAAAATACAACTGTGTACTTACTGATTACTGTGGGGCCGTAAGTTTTGACTGTTTATTAAGGGCATGTTTGGATCTGGAGGATAAGGTGGAACAAGGATAAAATAGAAGAGGCTTATTACTGGTCCCAACCAAACCTCTTCCATGTTTTGGGCTTATTACAATTCGTTTTCTTTTGGTTTTCTGTTTTTGACAAAACGATATCTTAACAACTTTAATATATATATATATATATATATATATTATACAAGGAGAGGGATACGAAGCAGAGGGTAGCCTAGGACAAAACTCCAGAGCACTATTTTTGATGCATCGGTGTCTTATAAGAGCCAAAGGTCCAACAATGCTTGATCAGGGAAAAGTCTTATGCATTGGTATAATGTTGAAAATTTGGACATATTGGATCTTATAGTTCTGGAAGAATATCCTCCAATTCGCATATATGAAGTGTAATAACCTTATACCTAGAACTACTGTAGAATATGATGTTTTAATTAATTTAGGGTTCAATACCTTTTGGGTCATTGAGTTTTACATGAAAATTCAATTTGACCACTGAGAACTTTTTTAGCCAAATTGATCACTGTGTTTTCCAAAGTTTACAATTTATAGACATTTCGCTATCTTCCATGAAGTGCAGTTTTTATTTTTATTTTTTCTAGGATGCACATTCATTCTTCTTCCTCTAACTCAACGAGTTAGAGTATATTGTGCTATAAGGGTTTAACAAATTGGGAGAAAGCTCGGGTTGAAATCAAAATTGTGAGGTATAAGGTCACAAATTGGATGTTATATTGAAGCCTGGATCGATTGCGTAAGAACCGTATTGTGACTTCGGATGGCAAGGAGACGTAATCAAGGTGATAAAGCAAGAGCACCAAAATATATTGATAAGTTTTTTATTTCATTTCAATTTGGTTTGGCTTTTTTTATTTTCCTTACACATCACAATTTCGATTTCAACCCAAGATTTCCTCGAATTATTAAACCATAATAGCACAATATACCATAACTCGTTGAATTAGAGGGAGAAGACTGAAGGTGCTTCCTAAAAAATAAAAATAGAAACTGCACTTAACGGAAGATAACAAAATGTCTATAAATTATAAACTTTAGGAAACATAGTGACCAATTTGGTTAAATGTTTTTCTCAGTGACCAAATTGAATTTTCGTGTAAAACCTAGTGACCGAAAAAGTATTTAACCCATTAATTTAAGGTGCAAAAAGAAATTTGCAATTCAAATTACGGTTTTAATTCTTTTTGTTTTAAAGTGTTATGGCAGTGTCCTAACATTAAGTGAAAGAGATTCATCTCTATCATTAACTTGTGTATGTGCTATGTATGTTCATCTAATATATTTTTCATGTAATTTGTTGAACGTAAAAATTCATTTCTATATATTGGATAGATATGCAATTTTAAACGAAAATGATCAAAATCCCCCTATACGGGTCATTATTTCATTTATATCTTATATGTTTTGTTTCTGAGAGTTGTTAGGTGAAATTACAAAAATGCCCTTATATGTATTTTGTGTTTCTCTACACATAAAACATATCTTATCTTTGTGCTTCTAAATTTTCTAAAAACAATGTTCTTATTCATAAGATGATTTTTTTAGAATTTAGTTCATTTAGTTTGAAATATTTGAATTTTTGTGTGTGAAATTACCAAAATATCCATATGTGTGTTTTTAAAAAAAGAAGATGAAAATAAGTTTTTGTTTAGTAGATCATCAAATTTTTAAAACGCGAGGTAAGCCTCCAGCTGCACTTGGAGCATTCAAAATATCTCAAACACTCAATTGCAAAGCTTTAAACACCTCACTTGGCCTTTAACCATACATAGTAACCAAGTAACTTTGAGAGAAACTCAAATTCATTTCCAACTAGTTCTTAGCAAGGTTTAAAATATCGATGGTTTTGGAAATATTGGTAGCCCAAAACAAGGAAATATCAGGATATTATCTAACTAAACATGTTGAGGTGGATAGACATTTCATCAAAGAAAAAATTGAGAACGGGATCATTTGTCTATCTTTTGTAAAATCAGAAGATCAGTTAACAGATGTCTTAAAAAAAGCTGTTTGTGGATAAGTGTTTTATGCCTCACTTACCAAGTTGAGAATTGATGACGTATATGCACCAACTTAAGGAAGAGTGTTGATGTGAGTTAACCTACTAAATTAAGGAGATTTATTTCCTAATTAATTAGGTGATTTACTTCCTTGTTTCATATAGTTAACACATCCTTGTATATTTAGGAGATACTTTCCTAATTAATTACTGTATCTATTTCCTTGTAAAACACCCTTATAAACACCTATATATCTCCTTATGGAGAAGAATAGAATTAACCTAAAGTATTCAAACCATATTCATATTTAAACAAAATCTACATCTTGTATAATGAAACCATAATAGTTGTCAAGATTGGCAAACTATTGACCCAAAAAAAAAAAAAAAAAGGTCAATGGACTAAGGAGGCAGTCACAATGCCTTAATTAACCAACCTAATTTATATTTGTCCATCCATCTCTTTTTTGTTTGTTTTTAATAGATAGATGAGAAATCGAAGACATAACATCTTTTGAAAGAAAAATAACTACATTAGATAAAAGGATAAACTACATTAAAACCCCTAAACTATAGGGTCATTTTCAAGTTCATACCCAATTTTAGAGATATTTATGAGTACATACTCAAACTGCCGAAAAACCTACAAATTGCCCCATCCGTTACACAAACCGTTAGTTAATCTGTTAAATGCACTTGTCAAATGTATAACCCATTTTTTAATGAATGGATGTTCATGTAGATAAAAAAATAATAAAAAATTCTTTATTTTAAAAAAATTAAAATCATTAAAATTTAAAAATCAAAAAGCAAAAAAATCTCTCTATTGATGCTCTTTTTGGGGAGAGTTAACTTAAATGAAGGAGTGGTGGATCTTCAGCAGGGCGGTTATGAACCTTCGACACGGAGGGGTCCTGCAGAAGAAAATAAGGAAGAAGCAATCGTCAGTCTTCAGGCACCGGTGTGTAGGGATGACAAAAATTTCCGTGGGGGCCAGTCGTCCCCGACCCTAACGGGGGGAGATTTCGGGGCCAAACGGGTATGGGAAGGGGATGGTATTGGCGTTCCCATCCCCAAACCCGACCCGAAAATATATATGTTTATACTTAAATAAATAAATATAAATATAATATTTATGTTTAACCCTAAGTTAACCTCTATATCCTAATTCTTCCTAATCTTCTATGGAACTTCATATTGATGTGATTTTGAATAGTTGAGTTGAACTTTATAGTTAATTTGGATGTGTTGAATGATAATTTAATATAAAACTTAATGTTAAAATGTACAACAATTTTTTTTTTTAATGCAAAAACATAATTGGGGATTCGGGTCGGCCATGGGGGATAGTCCCTCGATGGGGACGAGGATTCCTCGAAACCTATTAAACGGGGATGGATTCGGGGACGGGGGCGGGGATGGAGAGTGGGGAAGGGAATGGTATTGTCATACCTGGCCCCTACTCGACCTGTTGTCATCCGTACTTGCCGAAAACTCTTCGATGCTTAAGTTAGCAAGTATTTATGGTAATTTGGAAAGAGTAACAGTAAATGTAAAAAGTAGTTACCCCTTTTTACTTGGGCAATGTTCCCTATTTATAGGGGAGTGAAAATGAGAGTTTTGCACAAAGTTTTGATGTGGGACTTTGTGCAAATTGCTGCGGAGGTGACATGTGTCCATGAAGACTAGGTTCTATAATTAGGAGCATCGGCAGGTGGTTACCACTTCGGAAGGGGGGCTTCCTTTGGTAGGCCAAAGAAGGTGATGATGCCACTCGTCTTCTAAGGGCTTGTTTGTGTGTCTGCTTGAGTATCAGTTGTATAGTGCCGGATACGCTTGGTTGATTATGGTGTAAACACTCTCCATCACTCTCCTCCTAACCCTCCCCCTAGCATGACTTAGCCAGCCACCCCAAGACCCCAAGACCCCAAGCCACCCAAATAAGCATTCCAGCAGCCCAAACAACCACCCCAGCTAGCCAAACCACGACCCACCACCCATTTTGTAGTCAATTTCATCAACGGCCATGGAATGTTGAGCGCCTACGCCATCATCAACTTCGGCGGGCAGCGGCATGAACCATGACAAAGCAGAGAGATCTTGGTATAAGACCCAGAAGAGAGCATGAAAAGATTGTACCCAACAGGCGTGGAAACCAAAGAAAACAACTCAAAAGGGTCAGCAGGGAATTCGATCACTCTTGAGGACTTGGTCAAAAGATTGAAGACAAGAAAGGAATTGGAGAGAGAGAATCAGAGTAGAGTCATAGAAAGCGAAGTGGTTGCAACACTGAGGGTGAGAAAGCAAGGGGAAAGAAGAGAAGGGTGGAGAAGAGGAGTGCTTGGAGATCAATGAGGGAGAGAATAACAGAGACTTGAAGTGCTTACAAGTCAATCTCAGATTCATGAAGTATTTGAGAGGTAGAAAAGAGAGAATACGCTCTAGGAGTTCCTGTGGTAGCTTGCTCCATAATCCAGCGTCCATCTCCGGTGGGATAATCGGAGGCTTGGAGATGGTGATGGGTTGGATTTATATGAGCAATAAGTTGTGAATCCAAAATTTCAACTTTTAATTTGATTATCTTTGTTATGTTGTGCTACATATGAAAAGATTTGAACTTCTCGATTTTGTAGAAATTAGGTTTATTTAGTTAATCTCCTCTGTCTCTCTCTCTTGGACCTCCACTAGCCCAGTCACAAAGTCAGTCCATTGGTAGCCAGCAACCATTAGTGGAGTTCTATGCTCAGGAACAAAGTTTCGAGCCTTTCTGATTGCTATACCACAATCCAATCTCAAGAAGCATCCTCATCAATCAATTGCTTAAAGCCTTCAACATCATTATCAAAAGCAAATGTCAAAATCTCATCTCTGGGAGGAAGGGTT